CTCTCTAGTTTTCACATGCAATGTAGGGGAAAAAGAACTTCAAAGATAAAACACAAAAGAGGAATGATGTTGTCCTTACCACCTCTGAACCAATTTTAGCATAATGAGTTCAGAGGATGAACGGGGCCATGGAGAACTGAATGTGAAAGGGGGACAAAGGCATAAAGAACACATTCAGCACTAGGCAAAGTGTCAGTTGCGCAGAATATGAATATATGACAATTACATTTTGGTTTAAAGTGCGTTCGTGTCGTTTGGAAAAAGATGAGCTGGTTTGTCAGCCAAAGCTAGTTCACATCGGCGGTAACAACACATATGCTTGCAAAGCATCATAAACACACAATGTTCCCATAGCACCATCCAAGACCACCTCGCACTGCTTGCTTGAATTAAACAATGGATGAGCAACATATAAATGCCTCCCAAAAGTTACATGAAACATGCATGTCATCGTGAAAGGAGTTGGGTACAGTAAGTCAATTTGTCCACCCAAAACAAGTACCGTACAAATATTATTTTATGACTTCATGGGCCTGATTTACTTCCCTCTAACAGATTGTAAATGCTGCTGTCAATGGACATAATGCACATGACCTTCTACGAATACCAAATACCGGTAGTGGGCGCTAAATTGTGTTCTCACTCATGCTAGCGGATTGCTCACGCTGTTGGCAACAGGCGTTCAAGTGGTCTAGAATGCTGTACTGAAAAGAGGGTTTTGCACTTAATATAACTAATGGTTTTCACTATGGAACATTTGTGAGACCTCTGCATGCGCAAAATGAAGTCTGACAATATTTTTCGCGAAGCCAGCAACAGCATAAAAGTCCTGTTTTGTTTAACTGGCCCCAAATGCATGTACACTGGACACACATCCTGGTAACCTTGAATTATAAACTTGGGACAGCACACCCAAAAAGCTGCTCTGGAAGAGGCCATGAGAAGCAATTGATGCAGTGCGCTGAAATGAGCCAGACGCAAGAAAATGTACAGTTGAAAGGACATTTATCACAGGTGACATGGCATTACTCCTCCTTGTGACTGGCTCCAAGTCAGCCGTTCAATTAAATCGAAGGCTTAGATCATTCAGAAGCTTCAAAACTGCAAAGCTCGCTAGACGATATTGCAACAGTGTTTTTCCTGGCGATTCAAAAATGTTGACATGAGGGTAATAGTTCTCCACACTGCCTCTCATTTTGCTTCCATTAACTATGCTGACAGGACTGTGCTTGCTGATTTTCACCTGCCTTTCAAATGAACTATTAAAAACACAATGCGTGTGCTAAATTAATCTATTTGCATATATCATAGTCCCAAAGCACACAAAATGTACTGAATGGCAATATTGCTCATTTGGTAGACATAATCCTGGGTGTGCGCACTTTGTAGATCAACTTCTACGTCTGAGTGCGTAATCAAGTTTGTGCTAGTTTTTGCACATGCAAAACTTTACAAATTAGGTTGGATAAGAATAAAACTGAATTTACAAAAAAGGGATTGTTCACAGTTGTATGGTGTCATTTAGAGTAGGCTACTGAGCAAGACAGCTTTTCAGGAATGCAGGCAGACGTACACAAAAAAGGACATACAGTGGCATCTCCAAACATGAACATCCCAAATAAATGTCGTTCAATTTGGAACCATCCAATATTTTTATTCAAATTATGTTGCCTCAGTCCCACAAAAATGTGACACAGGCTTAGCTAAACAAATGTGTTTAGTTTTGTTGTATATGCAGTATTTTCTTGGAAAGACAAAGACAAAGTGTGATAATGGCCATATAACTTAAACGCTCCATACAATAAGTTAACAAGATGACATGTGAAATCGGGGGCGTTTCTGGACACTTTCCCTTCAGTGAAGGAACAGAGCCACATGATTTGTTGTTTTCTAAATACATCTCAGTCCAGGCTGCAGTGCTCAGTAGAATACGGCTAAGTCAAAAAATATTATAGAGGTAAAATGCCGCAAAGTCCCCCTGCTTGTTCATAAACATGTACGTCTCTTGAGAATCAAACACACTGTACTACATTTATTCATTTGATGTCTTATTATTCTAACAATGTCTAAGTCCTTTATGTATTTGCATGAGAGATTGGAATGTTAAACTTCGACACAAAATACTCGCTGTAGAATTATCAAAGCTTTGCTAATGGGGACAGTTTGACCCTGCTAATGCAAGTACCATGGAAAAAATTATTTTGAAATACCTGTACAAACAAATCAGTGGTCAATGGGTGTTCAAGTTTAGAGGTTACATTTTACCATTCAAAAAATAGATAGCAGGTGAGTTATAAGTGGCATCTGCGAGAAGCTAATGGAAATCCTTATACAGTATACGAATGAAATGAAATGTGTAAAAAGGTGAAATCGGTTAGGAGTGTGCTTTAGTTGATGTCACAGAATAAGCAGTAACAAATGCCTACTTGGGAAACCAATTGAGGCCCAGATGCTCCGTCTTGGAGAAAAGTATCCTGTCGTGCAATTCATACAGAGGCCTCCAAGGCAATTCCAGGTCCTCCCTTGAGAGAAGCTCTCTTTTCCTTAGAAGGACAACACACAGAGTCAGGCTAATGCGTAAACAGATTTGCTGCTTCACAGCGTGCGGCTTACTTGAGCAGTTTGATAAGGAGGCGAGCCAGGCCTTGCATCATGCTGATCTCTAGACGAGGGATGGTGACTAGCTCGTACAGCAACTTGATGAATAGCACGTGGTCTTCTTTGCTGAACTTCCGGCCATATAGACGTATATACCTACATTGGAGGGAAAAACATTCAGTTTTGTTATTGAGGCTTTCAGTGTCATGTGTTTGTGCCATTAAAAGAAAATCATTTCACAAATAGCCATGTTTTATAAATGTGTGTTTTGGTCCCATGAAAGGCCCGCAGAGCTGTGAAATTGACCATTTTGAAATGGCTGTGTCACCACTTGCATGCCTTAACAGCAGTAAGCAGAATCTGGGTCAAACCCCATAGTGAACTTTCCATCTCTCTGAGCCGGTAGTGCCTCACTCTGGGACACAGCAATGTGCCAACATGGGGACAGAAACGGATTAATCAGCCCAGCAACAAAGTACAAATTGAAACAGCACTCTGAGTAATCCAGTGTCATGTTGACAGATGCCACCATGTGATTCATCACCAAGAAAACAAATAACGTATTGTGAAAAAAGTGGACACCATTCATCGCAATTAATAATGGTTTTGAGCTTATGAAACTGTGGAGCAAAAATATACATATTCATTAGTGAAGATTTTGATCACTTCTTCTTGATTAAATATGCTGTAGGTTTTGTAGCTTCAAACTGTTGGCACAATAATAACAATCAATGCAATTCTTCCATGTTCCACTGAAGAATTTTATACAAAATCGGAAATACGATACAGATATGGCAAACTTAGAAGCCAAAAAAATCATATTGACATATAACTACGTAATCACTCATGTGATGGCTATGTTTTCTGATACGTTTGTTACACAGTCTCAAGCGAATTCAGACTTGGCCGAGAACCTCAACGTACAAGCAAAACTTTCGTAACTGCACTTGTTGACGTATTACAAGAAAACTGTGCTAACAGCTGTTTGCTAACTTCTAATTACTTGTACTCAATCTGAGTAATGAAAAAAAAAAGCAAAGGGATTTATATTTGGATGCCGGGGGCATTTTTGTAATACTTACGTGGAAAGTTTCCTCGTCCAAAACAGCACACCGGGCCATATTTCTCTAAACTGAACAGCGCGGGCCAAGTTCCCCTTGATTTTACTCAAAATATCATTAGATTCTTCATCGAGCCTATCCGCATAAGGCAGAAGTTTGTTATATACAATGTCTTTTTGTGGAACAAATCCCAATCCATCCGACTGTGCCTCTTTCATATTACCAAAATTCAAAATGTCAAGTTTAAATGTGTAATTTTACTTCGTTCGGGTTCGTTGTTATACAATACAATAAATAGAACAATTTCTGCGCTAGCTTGCCCAGTTGTTGGCCAACGATGTGACTAACGAGAGAGTCACAAGTTGATGACTCGCTCGGTAGCCGTTTATCCTAAGTTAAGATAGCGTCTCTCCACAGTACACGTTAGCAAGATCCGATCCTAGTATGTTAAGGATAATCTGGGGAAGAAAAAAAACTATTTGTCAGGACAGGCGTTGGCACTCGAACACTCCTTCTCATCGATAAAGGGAATCCTGAAATATGACAAGCGGCTAGTAGCCTAGCTAAAGTTAGCGTTCCGCGACAAAAGCCCAATCATTTCGCAAAGCGCGTTAAACGTCGACTGATTCATCCAAGTACAGTGGACCACAAGGGCAGACGGCACCCAGCCACCAGACGCATTTCTGGCGTCATATCCGGTTGCGTTGAATGACTTCATTTCCCAAAGTTCCAGGCGCCAGAACCTTTTTTTTTTTTTTTTTTGTCTACGCTTATCCTTGAGCCTTTTCAATAAACTGACTTGAAATCTTTTTGGAAAACAACACAGTGTCTCAGTTGAGCCTTTTGGGAATAAATGCTAATAACTAATTACGTTTCTTTTCCCCGCTTCTTCCTCCTCCATTCTAACTGTATTAATTTAAATGTACAAATTCCTGACTTGGCTGTGACTAAGGGATATGTAAATAAAATTGACTCGACACATTCACGTCTGCAAGACATCTTTATATACCACCATCATGACCAGCACAGGGTTGCAGTTGACAACAATATTTCATTTATATTTTATATCGATTATCTGAGTCTCATTACAGTCACATTTTTAATAGTTTTATTTGTTTATTTATATCTGTTTGCCTTGATTACGCGTTTTCAAATTATTGTTTTCGCAATCACAAATTAAGATTGACTGTCATCTAGTGGTTGAAGGTTGTGGTGCAAACACTAAAGAGTTTCCTGAGTCAAAAAAGAACACGTCCCACTCTGAAACGATTTTCTCTACGGTTTACATCATAATGAAAGAGATGAACACATCATTCAATAGACAATCTCTACCAAAGCGCTGCAGCCGGTCTCCGAGCAACCGCAAACGTTTGCCAAGACGAGACGTTCATCACGTTGTGGAAAATAATCATTAGTTTGACCAAACGTATTCTGTTGAGAATACGTAATGTTTTTAGAGTAATTCAGACGAGATACTGAATAAGTGACAATCATTTGAATTGCTATCATGTTATGTTAACAAGCGAAGGCGAAGGCGGGTTTGTGGTTTGCCGTGGAGCAGGAAAATGATCGTTGAAAGATTCAAATTGACTTGTGACAAACTTCTATCGTACCAGCAACTCGCTTATAGTTACTGTTACACTTGCATCCCTCAGAATGGCAAGGATATTCTCATGTACAGCAATGCGGACGTTGGGCAAAAGGTTTGTCACCCGAGATTTGCATGTTTATGACGTGTCTCCCTCTATGTCGAGAATGTAATTCATAGTGTATTTAATGTGTGTGTGTGTGTGTGTGTGTGTGTGTGTGTGTGTGTGTGTGTGTGTGTGTGTGTATACATGCGTCCCAAGTCCAAGGACATGCAAACTGCACACAAGAAGACCAGAACCGAAATTGAAACCCAAAAACTCAGAACAGTGTGGCACATGTGCTAACATATAGTCTATAGAGCTTCCTTAATCACAATTTAATTTTAAACTTTCATCTACTATTCTTTCGGCCATGCTCTGCAAGCTTTATTGTTTCCTTATCCTTTCCTGTGTTGTTATACATTAAGTGGAAAAAATGGTATTTTGAAGCCAGTGCGTTGCAAGATTAAAAATATAGTACAGTAAAGATAGTGGGACACCACAATGGCATGAATCACACAAGTGTTTTTTCTGTGTCTCCACAGGCCTTGCTGTTCACGGGCCATCACAGTGAAATCACCTCCATGACTTTTGGGAAAAAGAACTCACCTGTCCTTCTCTGTTCTGCATCTGCCGATTACATTATTGTTTGGAATGTGGAAGTGTGCCAGAGAAGAGTGAGCCAAGGTACAGAAAGAGAAAGTTGCTTCATGTAAATCCATACAAACTAGACACCTAGGAACAAGTGAAATGAATCTATGTGCTTTTATGATAAGACTGTTGAGTTGTGATTGATAATGTCAGAAAGTATTCATTTAACAGGCCACATATTGTGGTTTTACTTGGCATTGCTGTACAACTGTACTGCATCATAATGAGCTCATGTTGCTAACTGAATTTTGCCAAAGGTCAAATTGCAGCTGGGACAGTTATCGGAAGTTTACCAGGTGAAGTGGTCCATCTTTCCTTCTGCTTGTCTGATGAGAGAGTGGCTGCATGCTCTGGAGCCACTGCATATATTCTCAGTTTAGAGGTATTTATTTTCCCAAGTCTAAATTCATTTTTAGGATTTGAACTCTGATCTGCAGATGCAAATGTTAATGCACAGTGGACACAAATGGGAAGCCAATATGACTGTTTTTCTCATCAGAAAGAGGAAACAATCTTGACATTAACTGGCCACTTGGGACCTGTAACATCAGCAGAGTTTTGCACGTGGGATAAAAACATTCTTGTCACCACGTCAGAAGACCGAACATTCAAGGTACTGAGTTAACATTCTGAATGATGTATTATCACACATTAAATATTTTTGGGTCAGAACTGTACAACACAATCTTTTAGGTATGGGATCTACAAACTGAAACTGTTTTCTACCAATCTTTTGTACTGTCAGGTATGACATTTAAGAATAAAACAGATCAAAGCTTTTTAATTGTTTGATGCGTTTAACCAAACTCTTATTGTTCAGCTTCTCCACTGCTCAGTGTGTTCTTCATGAAGGAAAATGGGCACATAATCACTGGCTCCGCTGATGGACAGGTTGTTATAGCCAGCCCCGACAGCACCAAAATGACCTTCACAAAAAGTAGTTCCATGCCGCGTGTGACCAATTATTTTCTGTCTGCTTTAGGTTTGGTGTTTTTCTCTCCATGCTGACTTTTCTTGTCAGCTAGTGACCAAAATAGACCTTCACAAAAATGAACAAAGACATCAAGCGGGTGAGAACCTTGCCATGGAGTACAGGTGATAGCACTAAGTAGTTTGATAAAGCCTACTTACTTTAATGCTGCTTTTCATGAACTCTTTTAGGAGTGGGAGAAAAGTCGTCAGAAGTGGACATTTCAAAACCTGTCCTCAAAATCGTTTCTTTTGGCTCATGTCATGACAACATTGATGCAGAGAAAAGGTAAGTGGAACAAATATCTACCCATCTATCTGTCATCCTTCCATCGCCTCTACATGACCTGTTGTGCTTTACTTACCGGGACATTTAAATTACAGTAGTTCTGTATTTTATTGTCTGTTTTCCGGGCTTAAGTCTCGGGTCAGGCCTTCCTCTGTGTTTTCACGTTCTCTTTGTGCTTGCATGGGATTTCTCCAACAATCTAAAAACCTAACGGTTAGTTTAATTGAAGACTCAACATTTTCCATATCTTTGAATGTGAGAATGAATGGTTGTTTTTACTCCATGTCTCTCACAAAGTCAGCTGGGATATGCTCCAGCTCACCCGCTACCAAATTGAGGATAAATGGTCTAAAACAGTAATTTATCGTGAACAACATGGCCAACGCAGTTAAATTATCCCGGGTTTAGATCTCAGACCAGGGCTTTTTCTCTCGCTTCCTCCCACATTACAAAAACATGATTATAATGATATACAGTAATGATATTGCATAATACCTTTCCTTCATTATGTTTAATTACAGTCTTGCCATACGCCATTAGTGTACAGTATGAGATTTACGGTCTGAAATAAACAGATGGGGATTTGCTGTGTTTGACTTAATCTGTCTGGATTTGGACCACTGCAAGCAGATGGATGCTAAAAATCTTTATTTTACATGGGATGTATTGTACTGTATACATGTATCGTGCAAACCACACTTTAAAACACATTCAGATTCATCTTTAGATCATTTTAGTGTTGACATCTCACACCAAGATACCTTGTTAAGGTGCAACTTGTGTAAAAGTTTTTCTACCTTTCTAGGGACGAGAGCTGGTTATGCGTTGGAAGTACAGATGGTCTGTATGTAGTCAATCTGGCTACATCAGAGCTAGTGTCTGTTCTACATTTCACAGGTATGGTGCCTTCTGTTTTTGTGCTGCCCAAAAACCCCATAGGGGAATCCCTCAGTATTTTGTAGAAAACAGGACATCATAAAATATTGTATTTCAACTGATTCTAGACTATCCCAATTTGAGCATCGCAATGGCTGGGTCTTGGGTCTTCTCTGACACACCTAACAACTCTGTGAGTATACCTCAAATAATCAAATGGCATTGCTACATTTTTCCATAGTTCATGTTTTTTTCTCATATTCATTGATGTCCTTTGAGATGTGATTTGGACAAAGTATAATTCGATTAATCATGGAATGTCAGCGTAGCAGTGGTCCCTCAACTTTCCTCATTATTTAGGTTATTGTGTAGGCAACACACGATGCACGTCTATTGCGGTTTCCTTCTTTTACCATGCTACAGACTGTTTGAGTCAGACCTTTCCCAAAATTAAAATGTGGTTGCTATCACGTAAAAACTTAAGTATAAACTTTAAATGTGTGCCTTACTGCTTTACCAATTAAAGTCTGTCATCCGTAAATTGAGGGAAGTTTTTATTTAGTTTTGTCTCATAAACCTGAATAATCTGTTCATGGGCTTTGCACTTAAAAATTACATTTCAGTAACTTTGCAAAGTAGAGGATTGCGTGATTGCTCTTCGCTTCTATTGCTCTTGGCAATATTGTATTGCATTGTTGTGTTTGGGGTTTTCCATTTTATTCCTGCCCAGGAGAAAGCAATGACGTGTCTAAAGTTCTAAAATAAATGTGTCTGATTTCACAATCTAATCTAACAGATGATCACCATTACCTTGACAATTGTTGAATTCCTGCCACACAGATGCTGTTTTTAGTGAGCTCTTTGTTTACTCCCTGTGTGGGCCTGTTGGAGTTCTGTCTGGGTGATGTGGAGAGAATCCAGGCAGGGAGTCAAGGCTTTTCAATATTTCCAAGGTAATCTTGAAATTTCGTCCATGTAAAATATATAAATAAAATATATACAGAGAAAGAGTGAGAGGCAAACAACTGTTCGCTCTGTCTTTCATTTCAATAGACACTTTAAAATCTAAATTTGTGGTGTGAATGGTTGTTTGTCTATACTCAATGTGAGGCGGCGTGTATGCCACCTCTCATCTAAAAATCTGCTGACAGGCTCCAGCTCATCCATAACCCTAATGAGGAAAAGGTGTATGTATGTTTAACCTCTGAAATTTTGACTCAAGGGGAAAATTGCAATGGACAAGCTGCAGTCTTGATTGCATCTGCTGAATTACATTTTTTTGATGAGTCAACAATGTTATGGTAGAGCAACTAATAATCCAGCAATGGAAAAGCTTATAAGCATTCAATTCCAGGAACTCTTTTCCCCGTCTCACCCCCTCCCTTGTTTCCAGTTCCCCGCCACTGATGGAGTCTCCCCTCAATGCTGAGTTGAAGAAGAAGGAGCCCAATCATTTGAAGAAAAAAGGTGAGGATGTGTCATCGTCTTATGGTGATAGACATGTCATACCATGGCGACCCTGTAGTACAAATTTTAGCAGTCGATAGTGGACCCCTCTCATGTTGTGCTCGTGCCTGATTCATGATCTTGTAGCGTTACAGAGTTAAACGGAGAGCTTGTGCAAACTTTGTCGCACTCCCAATTGATTCTTCTTGTTGATTCGGAACAGATAGTTGATGCTCGTGTTCGTGATGTGCAGTACTCGCAAGCTTCTGACAATATTTTGTCTTCAGTCTCTAACCACTAGCAGAAGCAGATGCTTTAAATTTCATTAATTATTGGTTCTTGCGAGGTCTATTCCACAAACTTCCACATTATATATGAGAGAATGGAAAACATTATTTCCTTCACGCAGCAGGGGATGGTAATTACTTATCTAACTCCCTTCAATTTGAGTACTTTCAGCACTTTTAACAGGTACTTGAAATATAATAGCAGATGCAAACACATTGTAACCGAGATGTGGGTGTTAATTATCCAAATGGGGTTGCTTTGTGCAGTCATTGGTTCCATGGTCAAAGCCTATTTGTGACCCAGGTGTTATCATTAGGCTCTGGCAGCGTACTCTGTTCTCTGGGGGCGCGTTCAGTGGTTCTTTGTGGTTTTCATGTTGCTCTCATGGAGCGGTAGCGGTGGAAAAGGGCAACATTATCCTGACTCCCTACAGCTGCATGGAGAAGAGCTGTGAGCCTTACTCTGGAGATGTTGACGAGCTGTACTGCATGCTAAGTCAGACCCAAAGCCACAAGCATTTACTGACTAATGCGGCCTTAATCACGCTGCATTTTAAAAGTATACACTATCTGCAGAATTGAAACATATTAAACCATAAACCTCTCAGGATCTTGGAAAAGAAAACATTGTTCCATTCTAAGTCTGGAACCAGGCTACAAAAGTTCTTTTTAAAGAGCCGAGTGAGAAAGAAGGATGACGCATTATGTGAATCTGAAACTGAAATTAATGCTTTATTTTGTTTAAAAAAGTTTTGGGGGGAAGAACTTGCACTTTGTTCCCTTGTATAGAGAGAGGTCACCGACACTACGAGTCACAGTCGGTCTCATTCTATATTTTCCAGGTCATATTTGTTTAGTAAAATTACATTTTCAGATGATTTTATTTATTTTATTTTCGATATCATTTCCTTTCATTCATTTTGAAATGGGGGCAGATGGCTCTATTGCTTCATACTGGGAAGAAAAAGGACACAGAGATATGCAAGTAATGCAGACAGACATACATGTTGAGGAAATGACCCTCGTTAATATGTAATATTGTACATTCGTCGTACAATAAGTTTCATAATTGAATTGCACTCTTATCTACATACCGTGATCCCTGAATTTCAGCTTCTTACACCCTTTAGTTATGGTAAAGGCTGGACACATTGGGTCATATAGATGCGGTAAATTATACATTTTTAGAAGCCTGAATTATTATCTTTGTCTTTTTCTTGGACTTCTTTAATTTCTGTAATTTTCCTCCTGGGCTTTGTCTCAGAAAACATCTCCAGAGATAGCCAGAGTCACTGTTAAATCAATGATTTAACAATCAGTCACTTCTTAAAAATCCCAGAATTTAATATACCTCTGTGGGTCCAAAAAGCTTAATGACTCATGACTTTTCGTTCCGCAGATGCAGTAGATTGTTTGGGCAACTGAGTACGTTTTCCAGGAAAGAACCATTTCAAAATAACACTGATCGATTTATTTATTTTTTCTTCCAGTCCTTCATAACTCTTGTAAATTTAAAGGCTAAAGCTGTGGCCTGTGGTAATTTTTACATCTGTAACTCTCTCTCTCTCTCTCTCTCTCTCTCGTATATATATATATATATATATATATATATGTGTTATGTTATGATTAGCTACCGGTAATTTGAAAAAAAATACTTTGAAAGTGGTCTTTAAATTATTCCTTTCATTCTTCAGTCGTTAGTTCCCAAATAAACACACAGCAAATCACTCATCCAACTTCTCTCAATGACCAGTGAGGGGCAGTTGAAGGGATTTTGTCTATTTTCTTCATTCAGATTTACATGTATATTACAGAAAATATGGATAATGCTCCATCTCATTAAACTAGATGATTATTGTTATGGAATATCTTGCGTATTCATTTATTTTTATGCTTTGGACAGGAGCGTTGTCAGAAGCTTTCGAAAATAATAGCTCATTGTAATGCAAAGACATGCAATGACAGCTGACAGGGAGCAAATGCCTCACCCCTCAATTTGTGGCTTATAATTAATACTTCTCTGCTAATTTGTACAAACTATGACACCCTATTACTTACTGTACAGTGAACATTAAGTATGCCTGTTTGTTGACGTTTTCTGATAACTCTGTGGTGGGGTAGGACACAGGAAAGGAAGAGCTGGTTTCATATTGGTGCAGATCGGGATGAACGTGTGCTTTCAGATTTTTTTCTGAATTTCTCAGGAAAGAAATATGTTCCTCTTAAAAATTAAACTATTTTTCCACAGGGGGGGTAAAGGAGCAGCCGCTTGTCTTCCACTCAAAGGTGAAATCATCTGGATACACAAGCTCCCCGAGGTAGCCAAGCAAGATAGATAATCAAAACTGTCTGTTCATAAATTAAAATTAAGATGCATTACTTTGCCCTAAATTGGGGGTGGTGGGAACAATCGTTCAAGGTTCACAACACCCCCAAGAATCTTCACAATTCAAACCCATTTTTTGTGGCACTCATTACTATTCAACATTTCTACTTTTATTACAGAAAGCTCATATTATCACACCCCAAAAATGCTCCGAAAAGTCAGTCTTCAATGAAGACAAATAAGAAGAAGTAAGTGCTCTATATTATTCTTTTAAAAAAACTGCATTGAAATGACAGTAGTTTTCTTGTTTCTAATCTTACTAATTTTCATTTTAGAGGTTTATTCCTCAAAGATTACCCAGACGACACTGCAGCACCGACAGTTCTTCGTGTCCATCTAAGTATTACAAACAAGCCAGTTTATTGCCTCCAATATTCAGGTGTGTATTAAAGTCTGTTATTTCATCTAAAATTTTAATGATGTACAGTACTCCACATTTTTCAAAACCTCGTACTGACCTGCCCAAAATAATTGATCATCTGTTGAAATGTATCATACATATTGATTGCGTGTGTTTACATTTCTCCCAGGTGATGGAAAGCAACTCCTGTGTGGTCTTGGTGACAACTCTGTGTTTATGTACAAGTCTTCCCTTCATGGCAATCCAGCTGTCTATACAGGTATGGTGTAGCTTCACAATCATATGAACAGTGATTGCGCTGTTTTACAAACGTGATCTCGGGTTAGGCGCGAGTGTTTTTTGGTTTTTTTAATCTTCCCCAATTGGCCTCAAGAGAGTGCTCACATTCCAGTGTAGTTCAGCATATATCTATTCTCAAAGTTTTACTCATTTTACTTTAAGTCAAGGAGAATGAAGAATTTGATTCATTACCAAATGAATCAAGAGAAAAGCCTTTTTGGGCTACTGTACATAACTTTGAAACGGACCTTTGACTTGAATTGAAACACTCCACAGATATTTACTGCCTCACCGATAACTGTCAACCTTGTAGAATGAAGAATTTTGACTACAGATGATTTCTGAAGTAGGATTTTAGTGTCGGCACGGTCTATCCCACACCAAAAGCACCAAAAGGGGGCAGCACAGATACGATGACCAATGTGAGGTTACAAAGAGATGCTGAAATCCTCACTCTCTCCACATCTTAGTGGAGTTCCATAAGAGCAAATGTTGCAAATACACACGGTTATTTCCAGCTGATTATGAAAGGCTCTCTTTGTCTGCATGCAGGACACGACAAGCCAGTGAGCAGCGTGAGCTGGAGCCTAAATAGGCAGTGCTGGTTAAGTGCATCACATGACCAGACTCTGCGACTTTGGACTCATGACATCCCAGAGCCTGCTGTTATCATGGTAAAATGTCTCATTCCCATTCAAAACACCGATACTTGCGGTCTTCTATGTCATCACCCCGATTTCGGCCTGACCACTCACATGCCGTTAGTACTTAATGCAAAAAAAGCCTCACGTGCAGACAATTCATCATTCACAATACAGCAACCATAGGACATGAACAGAAACCCGATGCTGGTTTTTTTTTTTTTTGTTGGTTTTTTTTCGTGGAAAAGACTCTTTCCACAATCTCCATGTAAAAGATTGATGGCACCAAAGATGAAGAACAAAAACAAACAAAGAAAGACGCCCGGTGTTCTACAGTATGCTTTCTTTTGCTCATAAAGCCGTCTTAAGTTATGTTGAAATCAAGAGAGTCAATGAAGATGTGTTTAAATTAAGCAAACATGGAAGATTTATTATAGATTTTCTGTCCATAAAATCTCAAAACGGGCTTTTTACTAGTTTTGAGACAAAGACAGTGGTTACTGTATTTGCTCAAGCAACTGAGGGATTTTAAAAAGAATTAATTTTACAGCAAGCTAACAACCATTCCATGCTTTAAAATGGTGTGACTCAAACAAAACAGAATAAATAATCATGTTCCATAGGAGAACTATTTGTGAAATGTGTTTCATTTTGAGTTTGTCTGTCAGTATATTTTAAGAATATGAATGTCTCTTGTTTCTTGTTTTCTTTCAGGGGAAAAATATGTTCTCTAAACCTATCAAAGCTGCCCAGTTTTATTACCTGGACAAGTTTTTGCTTCTTGCATCGGGAGACTCACTCCACTTGTATTTGTATCATGTGGATGTCACACATGATGACATCAAAAGGTAACGTGAGCTTGGGTGGGTCGATATTTTTTTGGTTTGGTCATTTTCTCATATGACATCATGAAAAATGCCAATCATGCTTTTTAACAAATTCTATTGTGTGTCAATATATGGATTATGCTACACTGATTTATGAATTATTGAAGCTCTAATGACTGGTTAGAAAAACAACTGAACAATATTTTTTTTTTTTTTTTTTTGTTTTTTTTCGTGGAAAAGACTCTTTCCACAATCTCCATGTAAAAGATTGATGGCACCAAAGATGAAGAACAAAAACAAACAAAGAAAGACGCCCGGTGTTCTACAGTATGCTTTCTTTTGCTCATAAAGCCGTCTTAAGTTATGTTGAAATCAAGAGAGTCAATGAAGATGTGTTTAAATTAAGCAAACATGGAAGATTTATTATAGATTTTCTGTCCATAAAATCTCAAAACGGGCTTTTTACTAGTTTTGAGACAAAGACAGTGGTTACTGTATTTGCTCAAGCAACTGAGGGATTTTAAAAAGAATTAATTTTACAGCAAGCTAACAACCATTCCATGCTTTAAAATGGTGTGACTCAAACAAAACAGAATAAATAATCATGTTCCATAGGAGAACTATTTGTGAAATGTGTTTCATTTTGAGTTTGTCTGTCAGTATATTTTAAGAATATGAATGTCTCTTGTTTCTTGTTTTCTTTCAGGGGAAAAATATGTTCTCTAAACCTATCAAAGCTGCCCAGTTTTATTACCTGGACAAGTTTTTGCTTCTTGCATCGGGAGACTCACTCCACTTGTATTTGTATCATGTGGATGTCACACATGATGACATCAAAAGGTAACGTGAGCTTGGGTGGGTCGATATTTTTTTGGTTTGGTCATTTTCTCATATGACATCATGAAAAATGCCAATCATGCTTTTTAACAAATTCTATTGTGTGTCAATATATGGATTATGCTACACTGATTTATGAATTATTGAAGCTCTAATGACTGGTTAGAAAAACAACTGAACAATAACCATTCTTTGTCATGTGTTCATTTTGAAAAAAGAAAAAAGGTATGCGCACTGTTTAACATGATCATTATTTATTTTTTTACTTCAGATATCAGCAGCGAAGTTTTGTCAAACTGTCAGGTTGCTTTTCAACATCCTCAGGAGCCGATATAACAGACTTGTCTGCTATCAATGATTTCTTCGCCTGTATCCTTTGGTTTCGCATTTTGTTCTTCTGACAGAAAGTGCGGGCTCAAGTGTTTTGGTGGACAAATTGAATCTAGCTGCTGAACTTGTTAGCTCGCCCCTTGAATCTGAGCCATGTAAACTGCTGCCTCTGAAGCTTCCACTGCTGGTTTTACTTGTGATTATTTTGTCTTTAATTTTTCAGGAATGTCTGCCTTCTAACCAACGGTGGTGGGATATCTTGTATTGGGTCTCTCTAACATGCGAAAATAACAGATAAAATAACAGCTAAAAACACTTTAAAATCATGTACCCTTTCCACCTTCATTTTAACTTAGTCCCATGCTTGTCTTGACTTCGTAGTAGTTCCCATAACTTTCCTGGGTCAGACATTGTTCTGGCATGTGCTTCCAATCGTTCCATTCAAGTGTTTGACATGAACAAAGGTGTAGTCGCTGCAGAGGTGCCTGATGCTCACAGCAGAGCCGCCCACTGTATCACACAAAACAAGGTACTCATCTCAAAGCGTTACAGTCCCTATTAAAAAGTGATGGTTCCTGTTGACTCGACTTCTCTGCATTATCTTTTTATCTTTTGTCATTGTCAGTAACACACACAGGATAATTCAATGAGAACAGGATGTTGTCCTGTCGATACACTTGGGCAGTGTAACAAAATTAAGTTAGCAGCTCTGTGAGATGCACTGAAAAAGATAACAATGAAAAATAATTTTAAAAGAGTATAAATAATACTAGGCAGCACAGTATACGGGTGGTTAGCTCGCCTGCCTCACAGTTGTGAGATTCAGGTTTCGAATCTTGACTCCATGTGGAAATTGCATTTTTCCATTTCTCCGGGTACTCCGGGTTCTTCCCACATTCCCAAAGTATGTGTCTTAGATTAACTGAAGACTCTAACTTGCCCTTAGGTGTGAATGTGAATGTTACAGTGAATGAATGTTTACTGTATATGTGCTCTGTGATTGATTGGTGACGAGTCCAGGCTGTACCTCTCCACTTAATAAGCTCCAGCTCACCTGGCTGAACTCATACAATACTTTACTAATAAATAAATGGACTAATGTATTCATCCAAGTAAAATATGAAACTACAAAAATTTAGGAAGACTCAAACCAGTTTTTTCAGTATAAAATAAAATGGGGATACCATCATCAAACAATCAAAATACATTACATATAGCGCATTCCATTCAAAAAACGTGACTCAAAAGTGCTGTACGTGAGTTAACCCACCCACTCACTAGCTGACGGGGATACATGCACGCTCACATACAATGAAAGAAATGACCCATAGTGACCTAAGACACACAACCCCTACACATATGCTACTGGCAGACAAAAGTTATACCACAATGAATAATGACCTTTAAAAAAAAAAAAAAACTCAACGCTGGGTATCCAGGTGACAAAAACCCCATCTCAAGGGGCCGTCTGCATCAGGACACAATTATAGGCTGTGCCGTAGAGCATCTGCATGAAGCCCTCGGTGCAGCAGCACCGCGAGAGCCTGCACACACAGCAATTGGGGACCCCATGGGACAGGACCGTGGCCACGGTCCACCGCGGCTTCCATTGAGGAAGAAAAAGAAAATATTATATATTACAATATAATCACGATGATAAGTGTTCTATTTGCAAGTCCAAATGGGCACATTTTTAACTTAAGCGCTTTTCATTTTTACAAGACAGAATGCTGAAATGAATATGGAAAGGAGTAACCTTTATTTTATGAAATGTCATCAAATACTCTACTTTGACACATTTAATCCCCTTTATCTAATTTATATCCGACTGTTTCCACTGTTTAAGGACTAAACCCATTTAGATTCCCTAAAAATCATCCAACTGTCAACACATTGTTTAGCGCAGCTTTCTCGCCTGTAGTTGAACTCGAATGCTGATAGCGAAATAGGGAATTAGCTTTGTGATTGGCAAACCAGTGTCTGGATCAGACCCACCTAAAGGAAAATGTATTTGTTCTGGCATCCACGGGTAGAGCGAGTTCCATCTTTATTGTCAAGGATCAACTATTTGGCAGATGTTATGATGTTACGTAAGTCGTCTATGAGTGCTCGGATGGTTACATAAGGAGCACATTATCTGTGAGGCAACAAACGTGTTAGCTTGTGGTGTGACAGATGCAAGACAGTGGCTAAAAACTCATGGTCATTATCATTTATCTAGATGTGTGTTTAAAGCCCTGGTTTATTGGGATTATAAATGCCATATGAAATGGCAGGAGGACAATCCATGCAAAATGAGGGCCTTGGAACAACGCCGTTCCATGATCCAATTTTGGTTTCTTCAGCCTTACTCCCACATCACTGTCTTGGAGCAGAGTGGGCCCAATTTGCTGTTGTCTAGCAAGTAGACAGCTTGGGCCTGCATCCATAGCCATTATTGTGCTCTAAAGAATAGAAGTGTGAATCACTCACAATGAAAACCATCAATATTATTGATAAATGTCAACTGGCGATGGCTGCTGAACACTCAACAAAGAACGTGTCTTACACTTTAGACAATGAGTCCTCTCCCTTGTCCCTTGTGAACTTTAAAGCGCATATACGTAAAGTGATCCCATGCTGTTGCGTACCCTCGCTTCGGCGCATTGACCTGTGCGTGTTTGGTAGTCTCAATTAGCTGGATAAACAGCAGCCAGTGGTGTGTATCAAATGCACGGCGTGTTCAAGTGTGATGCTCACAGCTGACATCATGCCTTGCCCTTTCAGGTGCCTTTCGACTGTCGCGCCAGCTATTGTGTGCCATCAATGTTGACTGTGTTGGTTCAGCTGAGCTATTGCGTCAATGGGTGCCCGAGGGCCTGAGGAGTGCAGGGGGGATAATACCAGAGAGGATCGCAGGGATTGCTTCAGCCTGGCCGCAAAGTCGCTCGTCTTTTGCCTTGCTATCTTGTCTCAAGGCTGACCACTCAGATGAACTGCAGCATGGGCATGGGAAGCAACATTTCCCAATAAAAATTTCCATCGCCTCTACAGTTAAAAACTCACCTGGAACTCATCACGGCAGAAGCGCGGAGGACTTCTCGGAAAACTGAACTGGAAATGCCCTCTCAGACTCCCGTTCTCACACTCTAATGGAAATCCAAACAAAAAAACCTCTCCCCCTATTTCACACACACCTTGATGCATCATCTGAAGAGTTGGTAGGGAAGTCATTTGGAATTGGTGTACGTGTGCTATGGAAACTGTATATATAACTGAGTGCGATCTCACTGCTGTGGCTCAAGGATGGAAAACAAATTGTTGAAAAGAAAACATCTCACATTCCAGATTCACTACCATTGGCTTTCATTCTACCTCTCCCCACACTGTTGTGCGAAGTGCAATGAAATATTTGGAAGCAGTTTGCTTATACAGGCTATATTGCAAATGTTTTTTCCAGCACTTGATTTTCTAAGAAGCTAAGTCGCAAACTATTTGAGTCATGTGTTTCCTGACGAGGCATTTTCATCCATTTGTGTATATTTCACAGGGCTCAATGTTCAGCACACAGGCACCAGAATCCTATAACCTCTTCCTCACGAGCGCAGTCACAGATGGCTTGAAGTTGTGGGACCTCCGCACACTTAGGTTCGTGTAAGATTCTTTGCTGTCGAAATAATTATAGTTGATCATATTAATTTTTATTCTGAATCAGACTAGCTGCTCAATTCAATTCATAGAAATGAGTAATTTTTTTTTTTTTAATATATACTGTTCGATGATCCTGAATACTAAATGTTTTACTTGGCTTGAACTTTTAAAACAGGTTTGAGTGTATTTTGCATACTTGGTTCAGATTTCTGTCGTGTTGTTATAGTCTGTTGGCTGTGCATTTTTTTTCCGCAAGGTTTGAGGGTGCATAAAATACAAATTTTTAAAAAAGGTCACATTGTATATATATTTACCAGTGCCTATAGTGCTTGTGGAAAAAAAAGATACTTTCATGTCAATATGATATATCTACAAATTTATATCCAGTAGAATAATAACCACTTTTCGCTGCTCACCAAGAATCATGACAGCCTTGTGAGTGGATTTATCCCAAAACCTCAAACAGCATAAAAACAAACATGTCTTACCCGATGTCATGAATTGTATAAGCGAGAGTAGATATTTTCACCACATCTACAATTTTAAAACGCTCGGTCTCTTCAGAGACACGTCGCATATCCAGGACTTTGTTCCATCTTTTATTTTTGTGACATCACACGAGATGGTTCCATCTCACAACAAGAAGCAGCGACAGCTCTAAGGAAGGTTTGTTGACAACCAAAACTGTTAGCAAGGTAAGAGAATTTCTATGGACTCAAAAAATACACGTTTGAACACAAGAAATCCCATTCTATCAAATTGCTAGATAATACCAAAAGTTTGAGCATGGATAACTACTCAGCAAATCGGGGAACGCATAATACATGAGTACAAAGGAACATCACATTTAGAAAGGTGATTGGGGCAGTGGGGGCATATCATATACAAGTGTGTGTTATTCTCGGGAAATTACAGTAAAGCTCTTTGGTCTGACTTTACAGGTTGGTTAAATGAAATTTTGCTGTGTTTTTAATCAAATTGCCTAAACAAATTTTCATGTACATACATAATACCATTTAAAGTGTGTGGCAAAGAATTGCCATGTCAGAAAACGTTAATTACGGCAGTTGTAATTTCTGCGGTAAAACATGAGATTTTCATTCCCATCAGTATTTTTATTGGCTGAACAAATGCTTCATCATAAGAACTCAAACAAACTGTAACCATTTAACCAGACGAACGCGACAAAAATACTTAAGCTCCTATTTCTTCTTTCCAACTAAACATCCATTGCGGGGGCGTCACAAAGTTTTTATGGACAGGCCGGTTTAGCACCCAGGGGACGCATAGGACGTGAGCAAGTTCAGCACATGAGCAAAACATTTCCCATTCAGCTAATACTGTGTAAAACTTTAAAGCCAACATTTGATTTGTAGGGCCCATGGGTGACAAGATTCAGAAACGAACCAGGTGGTGTGCAGATCCCACAAATGCAGACGCAGACAAACTACGAAACTAAAATATTTATCGAAAACGAAGGACCCACAAAGTATAAATAGGCATCGCTGGCGACAAAGAACCAGGAAAACCAAATTTGAACAGAAAGCGCTTGCAAGGTAAATTTGAAACTCGAAAAAACACAAAACGATATGGCAAAGGCCCAAACACATGAAACTTAAATCAGACAAGAGTAATTGGAAAACCAAAATATTTATAAAACAAGTAACTGTCGGAACAGGAGTGACTATGAACGTGAGGTCTAGAAAATATATTTCGGTCATAACAGCAAGCAATGTCAATAATACCACCAGAGCCTTGGAAGCTTGAGAGTCCTTAAATACTAGGCGAGGCTTGATGGGGAACGAGAAACAGGTGCATCGCTGAAGTGGCACACCCTCCATCCCAGCTGATGCCAAAAACAAAGACCGAGCAGAACATGACAATAGGTGCGCTACCTGGGGTGCCAGGTGGTTTCTAATTGCCCGCGACTTCCGTCTTCAGCAAAGGGGAACTTGCAGTTTAAACACACTTTGCGCATGCCAATCCCATTTCTCAGACCCTAGTGAAGTATTTTTCTCATCACTTTATATTTCTATACATATTATATGTAATTATATATTTAACTTTTTTGTATTTTTCCCCCCTCAAAAAATCAATGTTAAAACTAAAAAATAAAATGAAATAAAAAATGGAACCAATTCATTTCGAAAGTCCAAAGAACATTTTCGGAATGCTTCACCACCGCAGGCCGAACAATGCCATTGATCCATTCTTAAAAGTTTCCACCCTTTAATTAGTTATTGTATCAAAGGATATGTAGCCAACATTGTTTGTCTTCTTCTTGTATCAGAGGATATTTAGTTCATACGTAGACGATCATTCAAAATATTTTTTTGGGCTCAGCTGAAGGAATTCTTGAGGAATTATTGCATCCATGTTTAAATATTTGTCCCAAACTCGATTAAAACCCTCTTGCTGTCTAATGAATATGTGCCTTTCAAATTCTGTCTTTTTTTTATAGCTGGGTAGTGTGATTTACTCATCAAATAAAACCCCACCAAGATTAATAAGCACATGGGGAGCACATTTTCTGGCCTCCTTAATTGTATGTTCTGTATGTTGAACTCCCATGGCTAGAGGTGAAAGAGCTACAGTGACCCAAATGTATATATATGGTAGTGGTTTGCGTACAGCATATGGGTGCAGTAAGTGTTTTATTATACATCTGAATGTGCTGCAGAATTCCTTGAAAAATAAAGACATCATGCATTGAGTGATTTAATTCCTCATGGAACTATACATTATTTCAGATATGTTTTTCATTGCATGCTGTTGTTCTTTTACCCTTACAAGGCTGCTTTATATATTGACTTTAGGTTGCCATTTTTGCATTATTGGTACTTGAATAGAGTTCTTGTAGACTCATACTCTGCAGTGTAATACTGTGGGAGGGGACGATGTTGTTTCACGAAAGAAAGTTAGTCAGATGATATCATTTTTCATCAAATGCCTATTTTTTTGCTTCATAACGTGGAACCTGAATGTGACCAACTGAAGCAAAGCCACATCAACAAAATTGATCCCACAGCTGGTACTGTATAAGCATTTGATGACTGCATCCCTTTGTATCCCGGCGTACCCATCACTATGGAACAAGGTCAGAACTGGAATTATTTGACCCTGTAACTCTTTTGCATAGCTCCAAAGTCCAATTTTTCTCCTCCCAAAAGCAAATTGAGCAAGCATCAGTGATATGTTGTTTTCTTCAGGCTACACAGCTGTTCAGCACAAAATCCCTTGAGTTCTCTTTGCATTATGCACTTACTTTCTCTATTTAACATAGCTCTTTACTTTGTACCATCTCATCCCACCAAACATCGAAATGATCTTTTCAAGATTATTTTCCAACCGCACGTGTTCCCAGAAAATTATGGTTCACCACTACTGAATAATTTATTTGACAGTTCTAACCCAATTTTAAAAGTTTCAGGAGGCTCCTTAGTTTGTTTATGACATGGTTATTTAGGAAACGAAAAGCTACGGTTTGGGTTAAATAACATGTTACTAGATCAAACGTATCAATGACTGCAATAATTATCCCGTGGAAAGCTCTTACCTGCAATATTTTCTTAGGTGGTGCTTTTTTGGGGGGTGGGGGAGGCAGTGTTTCTATGAATGTTGTTAAACGTCATCTTAAATCAAATGTTCAGCATTACCTAGCTGCCTGACACTGAATACTCAGGTGCATGAAAGGACCCTCAGGGCTGCCATTCAAAGAGGATCAGACCAGCCATTGCAGTCTGTTAGTCATCACTCACGCAAGTCTGTGTG